GATCAATAGGATGTCCTCCCATATTCTTAAATTCAGAACACCTTATGAATCCCTTGTTCAAGCATTCCCAGAGTCTCATATTCTTCACACAATTCTCTTTAAAGTTCTTGACTGCTCTGCCTATGTTCACATTCACACCCATCTTAGAGGAAAATTAGATCCTAAAACCCTTAAATGTATCTTTGTCGGGTATTTCTCCTCTCAAAAAGGTTACAAATGTTTTGTCCAGTCACCTTCCGATTCTATAACACTATGGATGTCGCCTTTTTTGAGAATAAACATTTTTATAACATGTTCAATATTCAGGGTGAGACATCTAGTACTCAGGAATATCAATTGTGGGATGTAAACATACCTCCATTACATGTTCCATTAACAACATTAGAAAAAGAATCCGTCTCTCAAACTACCAAAGAACCTAAACCTGAACCCATCACAGAGACTGATTGCACATTACCTGCAGTAAGTAAGTTGCGTGTCTATACCAGGAGGAACAAAACTCAAAGTAAAGATAAAGTAGCTGAGTCAACTATGCACTGTCATGATCAACTCTTAGACCAAGCACCCAGAATAACACAGGTAATGAGATCTTTGATTCAACTGATGATATTGGTTTACCTATTGCTTTACAAAAAGATGTTCGCTTTTATACAATGCATCCTATACATGATTATGTCTCATATGGCAAACTATCTTCAAATATCAGGCTCTTATGACTAAGTTTGACAGTATCCTCTCAGAATTGAGAACGGTTCATGAAGTTTTCAAAATTTCTGAGTAGAATGTTGTTATCCAAGAAGAAATTTTAGTTCTTGAGAAAAACGGAACATAGGAGTTATCCGATCTATCTTCATGGAAAACTCTAGTAGGATGCAAGTGGATCTTCACCACTAAATACAATTCTGATGGTAGTGTGAATCATTACAAAGTATGACTTGTTGTTAAAGGGTTTATCCAGTCATTTGGAATCGATTATCAAGAGATATTTGCTATTGTTGCCAAGCATAACACAATTCGGGTACTATTCTCTTTAGTATC